GGCATTTGTCTTTCTGATAAGGCTGAGATTTATAACCTAAGTTTTCTTTTGATAATTAAAGATTGTATAACATCTGTTTGCTTTATATCTTTCCCTTTTATACTAATGTAGCAATTTTTCCATTGTTCATTTGGAATTGTTCTGCAGTTATACAAGGTGCTGGAGGAATGCATATGGTTGATCCACTTTTCCAGCGGGTTCTGGTGAATGAGTGCCGGAAGAAAAATATTCCCACTATCTTTGATGAGGTTTTCACTGGTTTCTGGCGTCTAGGAACAGAGGTTGGAACCCTTGGTTTCATTTCATTCTCTTGTTCAAAATTTTTATTTTACATTTTTATTTAATTGATTGGGAAGTTACTTTTGTTTTACAGTCAGCCGCAGAACTACTATCTTGTTTTCCAGATATAGCCTGCTTTGGGAAGCTGATGACTGGTGGGACTGTACCCTTGGCTGCCACATTGGCTACCAATGCCGTATTTGACTCATTTATTGGAGACTCAAAGGTAATTTATTATGGTGTGTTGAGTTGTATGAGAAACACTTAAGTTTATTTTACAACTTGATTTGATTACTTATTTGATTTTACATTTATTAAGATATGTTAAATTATTCACTCTAAGCTTAAATTTGAATACACAGATTAATGTGGTATAGCAATGTTTTTAAAGGGAATTGGACCGGTATAGCATTTGTTTACATTTCTTGGTGTTGGTATTATGCATGTATAGACTAAGAAGCACTTTCTGTTAATTTTATAGCTAAAGGCCCTTCTGCATGGACATTCATATTCTGCACATGCTATCGGGTGCACAGCAGCTGCTAAATCCATAAGATGGTTTAAGGATTCTCAGAGAAATCCTAATATCACTTCCAAAGGAAGCTTACTTAGCGAGGTATGTGTATTATAATTGTCTTGTGTGTGTCCCATTTGTATATTACTACATACAAATCCAATACCTTCAATATATTTTCAGTCAGCATTTTTCTTGTATAATTTGAATAATATATGTGAGGGTGTAATTACCTGGCATAAATTGATTTCTATAATTTCAAGTTGATTAGAGAGAGAGAGAGAGAGAGAGCGAGCTGTTAAGAATTGCAAAAGGGGTAGCTTAATGTGTTTAATTCATTATGAGACCCAAAAAAAAAAAAACAAGGATTTACATCATTATGATGCATAATTGGTTCCATATTTCAACATGGTATTGGAGCCTAAAATAGTTAAATTCTGAAACCTGTTCTTTTTAAATTTTGCTAGAACTTGCTGTCCTTTCAGTGTCATTGTGTGTGGTTTTTTTTTCCTTTCCTTTTCTTCCTTTATTTTTTTAAATTTTACCACATGGTATCATTTCAAATGCTTGCAGTTATGGGATGACAAACTAGTGTACCAGATCTCTTCACATCCTGCAATTCAAAGAGTAGTTGTGTTGGGAACGCTTTGTGCTCTAGAGCTCCGAGTAGAAGGCTGCAACGCTGGGTATGGTCTTATTACTTTCTATGTTTGTGTGGTGCCTCCACATACACCATATCATCCCGTACCCTTGGAAAATTATAAGTTGAAATATCATGTGCCTCTTTAGTAATACCATATCATCCCATACGATACGTGCAGCATAATGATGCTAGCAATTGTTCCAAGGTTATGAGTTTTAACAATTTAGAGCACAAGTTGACTTTTAAAATCATTGGCCAGAAGTCACCTGTTCAATCAGCCGGCCAACCCTTTGAATCATGACATCTTCATCTGTCTTTTAATATTTACTCTAAAAATTAATATATATATTTTTATAGATATATCTTTTTATCTCTATACATATGTGGGGGTGTGTGTGTGTGCGGGTGTATGTATGGTGTATGTATGTGTGCATGAATGTTCGCTTGTGGACAAGATGTGGAGGTGCTTGTATACTTCATAGATTAAGAACAAGTTTCCATGTATCGTAATGCTATGATTATACAGTGTTATCATGAACGGTAACTTTTTGACGCAACATTGAGATAGCTGACAATTACCTCGCTGTGCTGTGTGCTGTAATCCTTTTAACCCTTGTTTGAAATGTTTTGTTCTGTGAATTTTGAATAGGTATGGGTCACGGTATGCAAGCTCTCTTCTGAAGAAGCTCCGTGAAGACGGAGTTTACATGAGGCCTCTGGGACATGTCATATATCTCATGTGCGGACCCTGCACATCTCCTAAGGTCTGCAACGAAGCCCTCACTAAAGTTTACAGAAGGCTTGAAGAACTTAGCCCATCTCAAAACAATTAAAATATCTGCAACTATGAATTCAAGTAAATCTTTCCACAACTTGCAATTCTTATTTGTTAATTACATTTTGGTCTCATGCGTTGGCCTTTTGCCTATTTTGTCCGCATGCCAATGGCTTTTAGCCCTCATAATGCCTTCCCTCACCCCCTTGAGAATAAAAGATAAGGGAGTGTGTGTGACAGTTCATTTGCTTATACTCTCTATAATTTGATAGGAGGAGATAGGAAAAAGTAAGGGAAGGACAGTTGTATTTTATCCATATTTTTTAATATTATTAATTTATTTCTTAAATGCAAGGGCAAATGAGTAAATTTACAATGGGATACTTATTTCCCTCATATCTTAGAGCATCTCCGGTGGGGTTTGTATAATGAGGTGTATGTTAAATATACACCATTTGTGATTAGAATCATCTGCAATGGGGAGGTGTAAACGATTGTAAATTTGCATCACAATTGTGAGATGCAAATTTATAGGCACATGTAAATCCTTTTTGACATCCCTTGCAGGTGGGGCTTAGATAAGAAAAGGTGAGAAAATGTGGAAAAAAGTGAGCAAAATCAATTATACATCTTTCCCATTGGAGCAAAAACCACATTTACAACCTCTGGAAGTGTAAATGGGATATAAAAGTGGCTTTACACTCCCAAAAATATATCCCCCACCGTGGATGCTCTTAGGATGGGTCTCTTTCGCCGTTTCTTGCCTGTATGATGTTATCCCTCTTACGACACAAAAGAAAATGCCTTCTCTCCCTTTTTGTGCCCCTACGCTTTGAAATCCAACTAATGCAGTCCAATGATTGGAGGGTGCTTATGTAATTTACCTACCCAGGTGCTGTGTCTTATTCTGTTACACTGTTACACTGTTACACGTACGAGAATACACAGGTTAGTTGGGCACGCAGCTGTCGGTGATTTCTGATCATCGATCAACGGTCAGAATTGCCGGCTTTGCATATCTCTAATAATACCAAGTTCAGCACCAAATACTCAAGGTTTTGTCCCACCCATAGTGATGACGCTACCAAAAGATTTCCCCTGTCAATTATCCTACAAAGGTTCTATTTCTCTTTCATAGCTGATTTCTTTTTCTTCCTTTATCTCTAATCTTCTATTGGGTTGTTGCCAGAGAAATGAATACTGGATAATGGATATTATACAAAGGATTTCTTTTGGTTCATGTCCTTTTGGTCTGTCATCGCTTTCTCCTAAAGTCAAAAGAAAAAAGTACATGCTAAATCTTAGCCGTTTATAATCACACATAAACGCTGGACTCCAAAGTCCGCACACAAAAAGTTGAATATTCCTTGCATTTTATAATGTATCAAGTTTTTCCTCATATTTATCTTCTTAGTAGAGGTTACATTAAATGCAATTTGTTTATGCCAAAAAATATCCAATTTAAGTCATTGGCAATTGCGAATTTCGGAGTCAAGGTTGGGCTAATAACATGTCGCTTCCAAGTGAACGACAAGATGAATAATACTCACACCAATGCGACTTAAGGCACGTAGTTCATCTCTCCACCACGACCGGTGTCAATATGGCTGGAGTCATGAGGGGGTGGGCATGTAATTTTCATATGTAATTTGTAAATGTTTGTCAGTTAAGTGCAAACAATAAGTGAAGTTCATTTTTATGTACTACTGCATCTACTATTGCTATGAGAGGAGCCTTTTCTCAACCTTTATAAAAAAAACATTTCTTTATGTCCATGTTTTACCATATGTAAGTTCATAAATCCATACTGAACTGATGGCAATTTGCAATTGAGTGTCATGCGTAAGTCCTTCTTGCTCGAGGTTGTGGGTCTATTCCAGCATTGGTGGTGAGAGTAACCAATCTTCCCCTAAACTTTTACAACCGAAAAAAGATATTAATAAATTAAACATGTAATTTAAATTTATTTTAATAAAATAATAAATAAAATATCATTTTCACAATTGTTTCGCCACTTTATTATTCTACAATAATAACCACTACTTTTTTTTCATTTTTATTTCTCCCCTTCCTCACATGCTTGTAGTTCAAGTGGTGAAGAGTAGTTATCCGTACACCTGAGGTCATGTTTGAATCCCCCTTTTAATCAATATCGATTGTATAAAAATTAAAAAAAACTCATTAAATTAAGTGCAAATATTGTAACAAAATGAACTATTTAAAAATTTGATGTGCACCAACCTTCTCATTTCTTTAAACAATATATAATATTGGGTTAGAAAGGATCAATCTTCCTCGTTTCGGACAAATCGGACAAACCCAAACTATATATTTCGTACAAAATTAGAAAGGAGTGAATAATTTCACTAAGAAAACCTACAAAAAATCAAACTAATAAGAAAGGAAAAGTAAAAAACACAATAAAAAAACAGAAAAGAATAGAAAAAGAAAAAGTTTATTGAAAATAAAGGAGACAAAGAAAGAACGTAAGCCAAACTCTACCAAGTGACGTCATTTTAATTAATATCTCTTCGGCCGGTAATTTAACTAATTTTATATTTCATTTTTCGGCCGTCAAACGTACGGTCACGATTCCACACAATATTGCCTCCGCACAATCCTAAAGCATAGACCGAAAAGTGGACCCATTTACACACAATGCCAGCAATATTATTTCCCCACGCAACACTTTATATCATCCAATGGAAGCATGCCACGTGCCATATCGTCCCAAAAAACATCTTCCCCTAACATAAAACGAGATAACTAGAAAAAGCGAGTACCGTGGTCGAAGAAGCAGTGGATAATTGACACTTCTGCTGAAGAGTCGCCAGAGTAGACTTAATAGAGACTGCTCGCCCTTATTTCAGGTTCCCGATTTTCTCGTTGTCTCTCTCCAAACAGAAACTACTTTCTCTCACTTTCTCGCGCGTTTTCTCGGCAAATTTAAGAAACTGACAGACAAATATAACCTCTCCGCACAGCTCAGTTCTATTATCACTCCAAATTTCAGCAGAAAACGAGGTATTAAGGTTTAAATTTGATGGCCCTCTTTGGTTGTTTGTTTGTTGAATTTCAGTTTAGTTTTGAAAAGTTTGTAGATAGTTATGTGTTTAGCTGTTATGCATTTCTTAATGTGAGTTTTGGTAGTGAAGTTGCTGTTTTTGATTTTCTCGTGTTCTGCAGATCTGGAAATCTAGGGTTCTGAAAATCGGTATAAAATGCAGAGGCAGACTAGACTCATGGAGAGGACCAACTCTATGAGAGGGAAGAGGCAAATGGAAGGGGGAGAGGAGGAGCAGCCGGAGCGAAAGCGGCCGGCTCTCGCTAGGTAACGGATTTCATCTTGTTTAATTTCACTTGATTATGTGAATTCTTTTTGTTGATTATATTCTTTGCTTGCTAATTTGAATAATTAGTCGTATAATTTGAGAATTGTAGGAAAAACCCCTTTTAGTTTGAGCTGATATAGTTATATTTGGACCATCTAGTTGCTCCGATTCGCACTTGAGAACTAGAGCAACGAAAGCGGCCGGCTCTCGCTAGGTAACGGATTTCATCTTGTTTAATTTCAATTGATTATGTGAATTCTTTTTGTTGATTATATTCTTTGCTTGCTAATTTGAATAATTAGTCGTATAATTTGAGAATTGTAGGAAAAACCCCTTTTAGTTTGAGCTGATATAGTTATATTTGGACCATCTAGTTGCTCCGATTCGCACTTGAGAACTAGAGCAATGTGCTTCTTTGACTAATTTAGTTGTTAATTAGAAGTGGTTTTTGAGTAAATGCTAAGTTACCTCAAATTTCTTAATGACCTGCTTAGAAGAAGATAAGATTGACATATGATTTTAACTTTAGCGTGTTTCATGACCATAGCACAGCACAATTACAGCCATGTTGTTCTCATCAGATTGTGATATTTTGTATTTGGTATTATAACTCTTCATTGAGACACACCCAATGACTTGTTATTTTTGCGGTTCCTTTATAATTTCTCATTTCAGTTTCAAGATCATATGTTTGGTGCTTTTGTATGTTCCCTTATGTTCCTCTGTTTGTATTGGGCGTAAGTTTCTGTGCGTTGTTAGTATGGCCTTAAGTACTTTGCTACCACCCATTCCTAGAGAATTAGACCCTAGGGATTTCTGTATGCATGAATTAGCCACTTAAATGAATTTTTGTCTCAAGGTTCAATATGTTTTCTATCATGTTCTTTATATTCCATTGAATATATATTTGCAGTGTAATTATAGAAGCTCTCAAGGTGGACAGTCTGCAGAAGCTATGCTCATCATTGGAACCTATTCTTCGTAGAGTTGTAAGTGGGTTTCAAAATTTTATTTTCGGGTACCTTTTGTTTATGCATTCTCTAATTGATTAATGTAATATGAATTATTGGATTAACATCATTGTAAGCCTGTGTGCTTATTTTGTCCTTCTTTCTTCTATCTACTTTTCTTTATTGTTATCTCTGTGGTTTCCATACTCTATTCAAATCTCTAGTCACTTCTTTTTAGGTTTTTTTTTTTTTTTTTTTTTTTTTT